ATAGACTTCTGCATGTGTTATATTTCCGCATTTTGAAAACAGAAAGAAATGGATATAATTTGTTAAACTATTGCTTTTACAGGGACCAAATGATTATATTTTAATTGATCAAGGTATGGGATCAATAGACATTTCACAGGGTTTTCTTATCCTTAAATATATTTTTACGTTTTAACCTTTTACCAATTTGAATTTTTTGTATTTGTATTTGTGAGATCTAGCTCCAACTTGATCTTTGTATAAATGACCATTCAGTTGTCTCAACCTATTAAGAAGTCCATCTGGAGGGCTGGTGTTGAGGATCAGCACGTAAAGCCAGTGCCTGCAATGCCAGCATCCCAAACAGGTGCTGGTTCAAGTTGTAGCCACTCCACTTCCAATCAATCGCCTTGCTAATGCACCTGGGAAAGCAACTGAAGATAGTCCAAGTGTTTGGGCCCCTACACTCATATGGAAAACCCAAATGGGGGCCATAGCAGGATAAAGCTGCGACCTGCAGTGCCAGCATCCCATTTGGGCGCCAGTTCGAGTCCTGGCTGCTCCACTTCCGATCCAGCTCTCTGCTATGGAAGATAGCCCAAGCCCTTGGGCCCCTGCACCCACGTGGGAGACCCGGAAGAAGCTCCTGGCTCATGTCTTCAGATCAGCTCAGTTCTGGCCGTTGAGGTCATTTGGGGAGTGAACCAGTGGATAAAAGACCTTTCTCTCTCTCTCTCTTTCTCTCTCTCTCTGGCACTACCTCACTCTATAACTCTGTCATTCAAATAAATTTTTTGATACATCTTTAAAAAGAAAACCCAGATGAAGCTCCTGGATCCTAGCTTCAGTCTGGCCTAGCCTCGCCATTGCAGCCATTTGGGGAGTGAATCAGCAGATAGAAGATCTCTCTCCCTCTCTCTCTCTTTCTCTCTATCTAACCCTACCTTTCAAATAAATAAATAAATCTTAAAAAAAAAAAAAAAAGAAGAAGAAGAAGTTCATCTTCACCCTGCATAACCCTATAACCCCTATGCAGTCTATTTGCGGAATTTCTGTTCTGTTCTTTCAGTGATCTGCACATTCACAAGTCATTACTACCATTTCTTTTTTTAAAAAAAAAATATTTATTTATTTATTTGAGTCAGAGTTACACAGAAAGAGGAGAAGCAGAGAGAGAGAGAGAGAGAGAAATGTCTTCCATCCGATGATTTACTATCCCAATTGGCTGCAATGGCCAGAGCTGAGCAGATCCAAAGACAGGAGACAAGAGCTTCTTCCAGGTTTCCCACATGGGTGCAGGGGCCCAAGGGCTTGGGCTATCTTCTACTGCTTTCCCAGTCCATAGCAGAGAGCTGGATCAGAAGTGGAGCAGCCGGGTCTCGAACCCAGTGCCCATATGGGATGCTTCAGGCAAGGGCATTAACCCACTGTGCCACAGGGCCGGCCCCCATTACTACCATTTCACTATTTTTTGGAAATTTATTTTGAGATAAAGAATCCTTATACAACACACACATACACACACACACACACTCAAAGACACACAGCACTAATCATAAAGTAAAATATTGAATACATTAAAATGATAATGTTTTTCTCTGACATGTGGCAGTCAATATAGAATACAAAAAATGTATAGTAATGAAATGAACATCTTGTGATATGATTGCTTTTCTTAGCCCTTTGTTGGACACCTGTGGACTTGTGGTCTTTCTACCTCTTACTTGTTGAATATTATGGTTAGTGGAGAATTAAGCCTGTGATTGATTATAGAGTAGATTGAAATTATGTCTTTGCAAAAAAATTAACATAAAAAGGAAAAGGAAGGAAGGAAGAAGATGGAGGGAGGGAGGGAGGAAAGGAGAGGAAGTCTGGTTCTTCTCTAAGAACTGTACCTATGAAATACATGAACTCTGTTCTCTTTATAGTAATAAAAATTAAAGAATAAATGAAAAATAAATGAGATGTTCTTTTCATGAAAATACCATAAAAAGTGTTGAATTTTTAAGTGTTATTTCTGATTTCAGTTATTTTAACAAATGCCCCTAAGTTTTACATTATTAAATATTTTTGTTTTCCTACGCAAGGAAAGAATCAGAAGGTAGTTACTAAGGTGAGGTCTAGACTCAAAAGGCCTCTGAGATATTGTCCTTAGACAATTTATTTCATTTCAATGTCTCAGAAAAGGTAATTTTAATTATCTTTGTTAATGATTGTGCTAACAATTATAAGACAATAGTAAATGCTCACTGGGGATTTGTGAGCCATAGATGAGTTATTATAGCTACCACAACTGGTACAGAATGAATCCTGAATAAATACCAGATGGTTTTAATGTCTCTTCAGGTTGTTAATTATTTTTTTCAAATTTTGTTTGATAAATATAAATTTTCAAAGTACAACTTTTGAATTATTGCGGCTTTTCCCCCCTTAACCTCCCTCCTATCCTCAACCATCCAATCTCCCACTCCCTCTCCCATCCCATTCTTCATCAAGACTCATTTTCAATTATCTTTATAAACAGATCAACTTAGTATATACCAAGTAAAGATTTCAATAGACTGCACCCACATAGACACACAAGTATAGAGTACTGTTTGAGTAGTATTTAATGTAACTTAATGTATAACTTAGAGTAGAACATAGTACAACACATTAAGGACAGAGATCCTACATGGGGAGTAAGTGCACAGTGACTCACGTTGTGGACTTAACAATTGACACTCTTGTTTATGGCGTCAGTAATCACCTGAGGCTCTTGTCATGAGCTGCCAAGGCTATGGAAGCCTCTTGAGTTCACAAACTCTGATCTTATTTAGACAAGGCCATAGTCAAAGTAGAAGTTCTCTCCTCCCTTCAGAGAAAGGTACCTCCTTCTTTGATGGCCTGTTCTTTCCACTGGGATCTCACTTACAGAGATCTTTCATTTAGGTCTTTTTTTTTGCCACAGTGTCTTGGCTTTCCATGCCTGAAATACTCTCATGGGCTTTTTAGCCATAACTGAATGCCTTAAGGGCTGATTCTGAGGCCAGAGTGCTGTTTAGGACATCTGCCATTCTATGAGTCTGCTGTGTATCCCACTTCCCATGTTGGATAGTTCTCTCCTTTTTAATTATATCAGTTATTATTAGCAGACACTTGTCTTATTTATTTAATCCCTTTGACACTTAATCCTATCTTTTTTATCAATTATGAACTTAAACTGATCACTTTAACAAGTAAGATGGCACTGGTACATGCCACCTTGATGGGACTGAATTGGAATCCCCTGGCACATTTCTAGCTCTACCATTAGGGGTAAGTCCTAGTGAGCATGTGCCAAACTGTACATCTCCTCCCTCTCTTATTCCCACAGAGTGTTAATTATTAAACACAGTATATTGGCTTCCCATTGCTGCCATAAGAAAGCACCATGAACTTAGTAGCTTCAAACAGCAGAAGCTTATGCTTTCCAGTTGGGGAAATCCCAATTCTGTGAGATAAAATACAAGTGTTAGGGGTGTTGTGCTCTGCATGGAGACTTTGGGGAGAATCTCTTTGTTTTTCAGTACATTTACAATACAATCAGGTAATTTCACAGCTGTGAGACCAAGAAAATCAGAAGACTTCATCTACTTCTTGGAAATTTCAAGGAATGGCTAATGTTTACCTAGAAGTACATTTTCTTATCCTTTTGCACCTAATGTCAGTCCCCTGTCCTGAGATATCAGGGCATCTGAGGAAGAAAGGAAGCTAAGGGAGCCAATGGGAAAGAACGTTCATGATCATGGTGATAGGTCATGATGGAGGCAACATACTCCTCTGGGGGTTACTAAAGAAAGGAAAACCTTGATTTTTGGCGAAGTCACAAATATAACAGAAGTATTGGCCTAGAAACTAGGTTCTTTGCAATATGGTCTAGGCTAGCAACATCAACAAGTAGTTAAGTGACTTAATTTTGCTAGGCCTCAGGGTTGTAATAATCTGTTTAAGATGAGTAGCAGTGACACCAATATTTAACTTGGAGATGTGGTTGTTCTTTTCAACCATGACATTTCTCCAGTGTGAAAATGGGTGTTACTTCCTCTTGGTTGTATTAGCTTGCAAGGTTAATTACAGCTAGACAAATGCTCAGAGGAATGTATTAGTTTGTTCTGAAATTCAAATCTAGAAATACAACTGAGCAGCATAGACTCTACCTGATGTAGGATGTTCAATGTGATAAATTTCATGGCAAAGAAAAAAGGACAGATATGAAAATTCATCTCCTTTTCTCCTGTGAATAAATAACATGCTTTAGGCAATTAAGAAAAATTCAAGCTCCTATAGCATAACTGGAAAATTCCTTACATGAGTAAGTAGTTAGAAGGAGGACAAATGACAGCACAATGTCATGTTTCTGTAACTTCTAAAACATATTTTACTGGAGATAAATAAAAAAGGCACCAATAATAACAGCAACAGCACAATAAAAAGATACAGGAAAACGTGTTTTAATTCAAGTGTTAAAGTAATTGTTCATTTCCTCATGGAAATTCAGACTTCCTTCTGGAATTTTACTACTGAGGAAAATAAAAACAAGATAATACTGGGTTATAATTTTTAAATGTTTTTGTGGCTGCAAATATATACAGACATATAATTTATACTTTTAAGAGAAAAACCAGTGACTTTTACAAATGATTGCAAAGATTTAAGATCATTTAACTGTAGCACTATGACCAAAAATCCAATTGAATTAACCCCATCAGATCTGTTGGCACCTCATTCTGCACTCCTTATACCACCACTGTATCAGCTCTCAAAAACTAAAAACATGGAATGCAACCTGATTAACCACAATATACATTATCTCAGATTTTCAAAGAGTCTGCTAATGCCATGCCCTTTTTCAGGGTGAACAAAAAGAAAAGCTTTATTTAGCTTTAAAGCTCACAACACGATCTCCATGTTGGTAGTTGCTTTCACCTTCTAAAACACTCATCTCACAAGATCGTCATCGGCGTTCAGCTCGCTGTGTCTCTGTGCAGATGGGCTATGGCTCAGCTGAAGAGCCACGTCAGCCCCCTTGAACAGGCCTCCACCCAGGAGAACTGTACATGTATCCAACACATGCCCACCAACAGGAGTGATGTCCAGCTAATCCCAGGTTTGATTGGTTAAGCTCTACTTGACTGAGCCTATGTGACTGACCTTCTATGTGACTGACCTGACTATACATGACTGACCCTCTCCATAACTGAAAATGTCCTTGAGAGAAATAGGGAAGACTAGACAGGTGGCACTGGGATGCAGGAGAAAGCTGCCTCTCATGTAGCCTAGTATCATCCGTAAATGAAGGCAGTGATAAAATCACCCTTGTTGTATAATCAGCACCACAACATTATAACTCGATAGAAAACATCAGTGTAGTAATTACTAGCTTGTTTAAGTGTAGATTTCTAAGTGTCTACAGTGTTTTTGTTCCTTTGTCTCTTTGGTGGAAAAGAAAGTCTGGTGTTCACCGTGTTAGAGTAAGATGCAATCATCATTTGGAGGTCGAGAAACTTGCTGGAGTCTACGGAGCTCCTCCTGAAGTCGTGCTTGTTCAGCTTGGTGTATTGCATTCAGCCTCTGAGCCTCTTCCTAAAGAGAGATGATGAGAAAATATTAAACTTAGCACAAAAGTGAAATCAATCTTCTTTCTGGTGGCCTACATCATTCACTTGTCCTTCTTTATTTTAACTCACAGTAACAGTAGACAGGCCCCAAATCTCTCTCTTCCATGTGTGTACTTCCAACCCACTCCTGTAATTATCCAATCTGCTTCTCTTTCTCTACCTCCAGAAACATCTTTCAATCTGCAAAATGTTGCTGTCCTTACTGTCCTTAGTATTCCATCCCAACATTATCTTTCTCTTTACACTGTACGATTTCCTGAAGAATCAGTCACAGTGTGACTTTAGTTCTCATTTACACATGAGAGAATGTAATCTATACATAGAGAGAAAGGCAAAGTAACAGAGACAGAAAGAGAGATCCCTAAATGGTCACAACAGCTGGGAAAGGGTCAGGCCAAAGCCAGGAGCCTGGAACTCCACCTGGGCCTCCTCATGGGTGGCAGGGACTCAAGTACTTAGGCCAACTTCCACCTTTCCCAGGTGCATTAGCAGAGAGCTGGATTGGAAACGGAGCAGCTGGGATTTAAACCTGTGCTTCAGTATGGGATGCCAGAGCTGCAACTGGCGGCTTGACGTGCTGCATTACAACAGCAGCGCTGATGGAAAACTAGCAACTCTAAGTGACATCTGGGATCCACTGAGGTCTGAGCCTCAGATGAGGGAATTTCTGCTAGGTCAGCACAGTTTTGGAAGCAGAAGTAGAAGAAAAGATTCTGGAGATCAAAAGCCCTACATTGCCCATCTTGTCATTCAGGAAAGTGCTGAAATCTAAAAAATATCTTGGAGGCCGGCACAGTGGCATAGGGGGCCTAAGCCACCGCTTGCAGTGCCTGCATCCCATATAGGCACTGGTTTGAATCTCGGCTGCTCCACTTCTGATCCAGCTCTCTGCTATGGCCTGGGAAAGCAGTAGAAGATGGCCTAAGTCTTGGGCCTCTGTACCTGCGTGGGAGACCCAGAAGAAGTTCCTGGCTCCTGGCTTTGGATCAGCACAGCTCTGGCCATTGCAGCCATTTCAGGAGTGAACCCAGTGTATGGAAGACTTTCTCTCTCTCTCTCTCTCTCTCTCTCTGCCTCTCTAAAACTCTGCATTTCAAATAAATATTTTAAAAAGTATATTGGAGTAGATCCTGAATAATAGGGGGAAAGTCAGGATTCTGTTCCACAGTGAATAGGTTACAGGAAAGAATGCATTCAGTGTGCTTGGTACAATGCTTGGTTAATAAAAGCCACTGTGTATTGAGCGATGAAAAAACTACAGGACTGGATAAGAACAACTTCTGCAAGTTAAAGGCCTTCAGACCTTCAGAACTAGAGATTGTCAAGGCAAGGATTGGGTATAGACATAGTAATACAAAGTTAATTTAATAAGATATCTATGATCAAAGCATTTTGGCACAGTGGATTAAACCCTACTTGGAACACCAGCATCTTAAATCATAATGTGGTTTTGATTACTAAATTCCTGGCTCCTGGCTTCAGATCAGCCGAGTTCCAGACATTGTGGCCATTTTGAGTGTGAACCAGTGGATGGAAGACTTTTCTCTCTACCTTTCCCTCTCTGTCTCTCCTGCTCTTTTTTTTTTTTTTTTTGTAATTATGCCTCTCAAATAAGTAAAACCTTTTTTAAAAAAATAGGAATTAGCAAGTTGATCAAAATAACTATTATTGTGCTCTAGAAATGTCTTTGTTCAATAGTTTACGCTATTTACTCTGCGCATAGTCCTATTTTAAACATAAATATAACTCACTTGATTACAAAAGTAACCCTATAACTGAGTATCACCACTGACTCTGTTAAGCTAGGAAGACAGGAGACAGACAACGTGCTTAACACAGTATGATGGTACATCAAGTTTCTGGAAAGCGAATTAAAAGATAAGCTTATCTGGCTGCCAGAAATTTTAAAATATATGTGTACACAGTCTTCAAAAATTCCATGGAAAATGTGTATTATGAAAAACTACATGGCCAGCGCCCTGGCTCATTAGGCTAATCCTCTGCCTGTGGTGCCGGCACCCTGGGTTCTAGTCCTGGTTGGGGCACCGGTTCTGTCCCGGTTGCTCCTCTTCCAGGCCAGCTCTCTGCTGTGGCCCAGCAGTGCAGTGGAGGATGGCCCAGGTCCTTGGGCCCTGCACCTGCATGGGAGACCAGGAGGAAGCACCTGGCTCCTGGCTTCAGATCAGTGCAGCACGGCCGTAGCAGCCATTTGGGGAGTGAACCAATGGAAGGAAGACCTTTCTCTCTGTCTCTGTCTCTCATTGTCTAACTCTATCTGTCAAAAAAAATTTAAAAAAACTACACATGGAGGGACCAGCACTGTGGCGTAGTGGGTAAAGCTGCCGCCTGCAGTGCCAGCATCCCATATGGGCGCTGGTTCTAGTCCTGGCTGCTCCACTTCCGATCCAGCTCTCTGCTATGGCCTGGGAAAGCAGGGGAAGATGGCCCAAGTCCTTGGGTCCCTGCACCCATGTGGGAGACCTGGAAGAAGCTCCTGGCTCCTGGCTCGGATTGCCATAGCTCCAGCCATTGCGGCCAGCTGGGGAGTGAACCAGCAGATAGAACACCTCTCTCTCTCTCTCTCTCTCTCTCTCTCTCCATGCTTCTCTCCTATCTCTGTGTAGCTCTGACTTTCAAGTAAATAACTAAATCTTTTTTTTTTTTTTGACAGGCAGAGTTAGACAGCGGGAGAGAGAGAGAGACAGAGCGAAAGGTCTTCCTTCCACTGCTTCACCCCCAAAATGGCCACTACAGCCGGCACACTGCACTGATCCGAAGCCAGGAGCCAAGTGCTTCCTCCTGGTCTCCCATGTGGGTGCAGGGCCCCAAGCACTTGGGCCATCCTCCACTGTACTCCCAGGCCACAGCAGAGAGCTGGACTGGAAGAGGAGCAACCGGGACAGAATCGGCACCCCAACCGGGACTAAAACCCAGGGTGCTGGCACCGCAGGCAGAGGATTAGCCAAGTGAGTGGTGGTGCCGGCCTTAAATAAATAAATCTAAGAAAAAAAAAAAAAAAAACTAAACATGGCTTGTAAAAAATATTTTGCATCAAAATGAACTTGTATTTTCATTCCATTTCCCCATAAACTTTTAGAAGTCGCTGTTATTGAACAGGAGGTGGGGCTCAGATGCACATGCAGCAGGATGGCTCCAGAATCCTGGCTCTCAGCTACCACATTGGACCCTCTCACCCCGCCCAGTGGTTCACCCATCATCACAGTATGGGGAGAGATGGCAAAAAACCCGAGATGAAATAACTGATGAGTACCTGGAGCCGGCGCTCCTTGGCCCTCTGCTGCTCTTGCAACATCCGTGCTCTGTTCATCTCCATTTGTCGCACCTCTTCCTGGTGGCGCCTCTCCTGCTCCTCCATCAGCCGCTGGTTCTCCCGTTGAATGGCCTCCAACCTTTCTGCTTCAGCCCTTGCAGCCTCCGCTTGCCTGCGTGCCTCTGAGGAGAGAGTGGAGAAGGTCAGACCCCTCCAGGATGAACGTGCCCCTTCCCTCTGCCTCCCACATCTCCCTGTTCATTGTCCGACTTCTTTGGGAAAGTCCCCAGGGCCTGTTTCTCCATCCCAGGTAACCAGAATGCACTCCTCATGCCACACTCAGATGTGGCCTGAGGGGCTAAGATGCATCTTTGCCATTCCCACCGCAGTGTAATTATCCCAGGCGAGCCAGGCCAAGTTCAAATGTAGACATTTCTGTTCATCTTACATTGCTTCCATCCCTTCTCACCTTTCATCTCCTCCTCTCTGGCTCTGAGAGCCTGGTCTGTCTGCAGAATTGTAGCACTCACAGACTCCTTGGACTTTAAATACTCCTGCAGAGCTTCCTCAGCCTAGGAGGCCAAAAACATGCAGTCAGGCATAGGGAATGGTGATAAATTATCAATGCTGTCTATTTCTTCATCTTCTCAACTCTCTTCCTCCTAGGAGGTGCTCAACCTGTGCTTGCTGGAACTATCCACCAAGCTGCTCCTGCCACAAGGTGGACATAAACCCCCAACAGGCCCCTTTGAGCACTCAAGGCCACCATATGCAAAGGATTTATTCACAGATAGAAAAATACAGTTACTAGGTGTTTGGAAAACTGTTATGGATTCTGGGGAAAGATGCTCTTACTCCCTCCTGAGACTGAGGGCACTAAGGAATAACTAAGTGAGAGAGCGTCAAGATGGTGGAATAGGAAGGGAGCACACTGATAGTCCAGGAAGAGACAGTTTAATAAAATTGGAGATACTGCAGGTTCAAGGAAGAGTAGGGGAAAAAACAGCAGAGGAAACTCTTCCGGAACTAGTGATTCACAGTGGACCTGCGTGGAGAGCGTGGGAGCCCATGGTTCCGGACATCAGTGGCAGAATCAACACACCAGCACTGGAATGCGAGGTGAGCCGAACCTCAATAGCCTGAGACACCAGCGGGCAAGCAGAAAGAGGAGACTAGAGGGAACGAGGCTTTAAACCCCTTGGGGAAAAGTTCAAGAGGCTAACTAGAAGAGAGAGAGAAAAAAAAGTGACCAATATGGACACGAGTTTCTCTCTCTCTGCTCACCTCTCAAAGGCAAGCAAGACAAAGAGCAGGCGCCATTTTGGACATACATCATAAGCGGGGCGACCTCAGGGCTGCGCCTGCCCACATCCAAGCAGAAAAACCTGACTCTGGGGCGGGTAAAATAACAGGAGATTAGGACCTAGTGAATGTGTGGTGCTAATGAACTGAGACTGTGAAAAAAGACACAGTGGGTGAGAGAACTCATGGAATTCATGTGAGTACTCTCCAGAGATGCTACAATTCAGTAACCTTGGCAATCCAGTGGGAGACTGCAGGAGAATTTGAGTCCACACTAAGGGCAGTACAGCTTCCCTGTATGGTCCTTGGGAAAGAGCTTCCGATCTCTGGCTCCTGTGGGTATATCATTCACCTGCTAACTACCTCCAATTCCGCTCAGCTGTGCGGAATTACTTCCCTTTTGAATCAAAGAAAGAAAGAGAGAGAGAGAGAGATTTACCATGCCTAACCTGGGAGTGACACCTTTGGCACACCCTTAACCCTGAGGAACCAAACGGAGCTCTCAGGCCACACCCATCTCAAGCCTCTAAGCCTCCATGAAAAGCAGACAGTCCACTTAATACAGTCATAGTATAACAAGAAAAAACACCACAGCAAGGGAAGAAGAATCCAAAGAATATCTCCACGATGCCAAGCAACAAACGCAGAAACCGAGGAAACAAGAACAAGGAAGGCACTATGACACCCCCAAATGAAACAGACACCCCAAGCCAAGATTATGAAGATGATGAGAAAGAAGAAATGCAAGATACCGATTTCAAAAAATTTATGATAAGAACAATTAGAAGTTTTCAAAATCAATGCTTGAGCTACGGAAATCCTTACTGGACAGGATAGAAAATCTCCTTCGAAAATGAAATATTAAGGAGGAATCAAAATGAAACGCAGAAGCTAGTAGAACAGGAAAGTGTGATAGTGAAGAGAAATCAAAATGAAATGAAGAATTCAATAGATCAAATGACAAACACATTAGAGAGCCTTAAAAACAGAGTCAGTGAAACAGAAGAGAGAATATCGGACTTAGAAGACAGAGCACAGGAAAGTATACAGTCATACCAAAGAAAAGAAGAGGAAATCAGAAATCTAAAAAATAATGTTGGGAATCTAAAGGATACTATTAAAAAACCCAACATTAGGGTTCTAGGAGTTCCGGAAAGCATGGAGAGAGAAAGAATTAGAAGGCCTTTTTAGTGAGATACTTGCAGAGAACTTCCTGGGTTTGGAGAAGGACAGAGACATCCTGGTACAGGAAGCTCATAGAACCCCTAGTAAACATGAACAAAAGAGATCCTCACCACGACACGTTATAATCAAACTCACCACAGTGAAACATAAAGAAAAGATTCTAAAATGTGCAAGAGAGAAATGTCAGATTACTCTCAGAGGATCTCCAATCAGACTCACAGCTGACTTCTCAACAGAAACCCTACAAGCTAGAAGGGAATGGCGAGATATAGCCCAGGTACTAAGAGAGAAAAACTGCCAGCCCAGAATATTATATCCTGCAAAGCTATCATTTGTGAATGAAGGTGAAATAAAGACTTTTCATAGCAAACAGAAATTGAAAGAATTTGTCACCACTCGTCCAGCCCTGCAAAAGATGCTTAAAGATGTGTAACACACAGAAACACAGAAATACGGTCATCAATATGAAAGAAGGTAAAGGAAGGAAACCTCACAGCAAGAGATCACAGGAAGTTCAAAGCATATATTAGAAAATATCTTTGGCAAATGGCAGGGCAAAGTTACTACTTATCAATAGTCACATTGAACGTTAATGGCCTGAATGTCCAGTTAAAAGACACAGATTGGCTGATTGGGTTAAGGAACAAAACCCATCTATTTGCTGCTTACAAGAAACACATCTTTCCAACAATGATGCATACAGACTGAAAGTGAAAGGCTGGAAAAAGATATACCATGCCAACAGAAATGAAAAAAGAGCGGGCATAGCCATCTTAATATCAGACAACATAAACTTTACCACAAAAACTGTTACGAGAGACAAAGAGGGGCACTATACAATGATTAAGGGATCAATTCAGCAGGAAGATATAACGATTATCAATTTATATGCACCTAATTACAGGGCACCAGTTTATTTAAAAGATTTGTTAAGGCACTTAAAGGGAGACTTAGACTCCAATACAATAGTACTGGGGGACTTCAATAATCCACTCTCAGAAATAGGCAGATCAACCAGACAGAAGATTAACAAGGAAACAGCAGATTTAATTGACACTATTGCCCAAATGAATCTAACAGATATCTACAGAACTTTTCATCCTACACAGAAACCATTTACATTCTTCTCAGCAGTACATAGAACCTTCTCTAGGATTGACCACATACTAGGCCATAAAGCAAGTCTCAGCAAATTCAAAAGAATTAGAATCATACGATGCAGCTTCTCAGACCACAGCAGAATGAAGTTGGAAATTAGCAACTCAGGAATCCCTAGAGCATATGCAAACACATGGAGATTGAACAACATGTTCCTGAATGAACACTGGGTCACTGAAGAAATCAAAAGAGAAATCAAAAACTTTCTGGAAGTAAATGAGGATAACAACACAACACATCAAAACTTATGGGATACAGCAAAAGCAGTGTTAAGAGGAAAGTTTATATCAATAGGTGCCTACATCAAGAAATTGGAAAGGCACCAAATAGATGAACTCTCAATTCATCTCAAGGATCTAGAAAAACCACAGCAAACCAGACCCAAATCTAGTAGGAGAAGAGAAATAATTAAAATCAGAGAAGAAATCAACAGGATTGAATCAAAAAAAAAAATTACAAAAAAATCAGCCAAACGAGGAGCTGGGTTTTTGAAAAAATAAACAAAATTGACACCCCATTGGTCCAACTAACAAAAAAAAAGAAAAAAAACCCAAATCAATAAAATCAGTGGTGAAAAAGGAAACATAACAACAGACACCACAGAAATAAAAAGAATCATCAGAAATTACTACAAGGACTTGTATGCCAGCAAACAGGAAAATCTATCAGAAATGGATAGATTCCTGGACACATGCAACCTACTTAAATGAACCAGGAAGATATAGAAAACCTAAACAGACCCAAAACTGAGACAGAAATTGAAACAGTAATAAAGGCCCTCCCAACAAAGAAAAGCCCAGGACCAGATGGATTCACTGCTGAATTCTACCAGACATTTAAAAAAGAACTAACTCCAATTCTTCTCAAACTATTCAGAACAATCAAAAAAGAGGGAATCCTCCCAAACTCTTTCTATGAAGCCAGCATCACCTTAATTCCTAAGCCAGAAAAAGATGCAGCATTGAAAGAGAATTACAGAGCAAGATCCCTGATGAACATAGATGCAAAAATCCTCAAAAATTCTCACCAATAGAATACAACAACACATCAGAAAGATCATCCACCCAGACCAAGTGGGATTTATCCCTGGTATGCAGGGATGGTTTAATGTGCGCAAATCAATCAATGTGATACACCACATTAACAGACTGCACAAGAAAAACCATATGATTATCTCAATAGATGCCGAGAAAGTATTTGATAAAATACAACACCCGTTCATGATGAAAACTCTAAGCAAACTGGGTATGGAAGGAACATTCCTCAATACAATCAAAGCAATTTATGAAAAACCCACGGCCAACATCCTATTGAATGGGGAAAAGTTGGAAGCATTTCCACTGAGATCTGGTACCAAACAGGGATGCCCACTCTCACCACTGCTATTCAATATAGCTCTGGAAGGTTTAGCTAAAGCTATTAGGCAAGAGAAAGAAATTAAAGGGTTGCAAATTGGGAAGGAAGAACTCAAACTATCCCTCTTTGCAGACGATATGATTCTTTACTTAGGGGACCCAAAGAACTCTACTAAGAGACTATTGGAACTCATAGAAGAGTTTGGCAAAGTAGCAGGATATAAAATCAATGCACAAAAATCAACAGCTTTTGTATACACAGGCAATACCATGGCTGAGGAAGAACTTCTAAGGAAAACATCATGCTGAGTGAATTAAGCCAGTCCCAAAGGGACAAATATCATATATTCTCCCTGATTGGCGACAACTGACTGAGCACCAAAGGGGAAACCTGTTGAAGTGAAATGGACACTATGAGAAACAGTGACTTGATCAGCCCTTGTCCTGACTGTTGATGTACAATGTAATACTTTACCCCTTTTAGTATTTTTTTTTGTTCTGGTACTATTGGTTGAACTCTGTAATTAACACACAATTATTCTTAGGGGTTTAAATTTTAACTGAAAAGTGATCCCTGTTAAATATGAGTGGGAATAAGAGAGGGAGGAGATGTACAATTTGGGACATGCTTAATCGGACTTGCCTCAAATGGTAGAGTTAGAAACATGCCAGGGGATTCCAATGGAATGCCATCAAGGTAGCATGTACCAATGCCATCTCACTAGTCCAAGTGATCAATTTCAGTTCACAATTGATCACACTGATAGGTCTAAGAGTCAAAGGGATCACACAAACAAGACTAGTGTCTGCTAATACTAACTTATAGAAGAATCAAAAAGGGAGAGAACGATCCAAAATGCAAAGCAGGATACACAGCAGACTCATAGAATGGCAGATGTCCTAAATAGCACTCTGGCCTCAGAATCAGCCCTTAAAGCATTCAGATATGGCTGAAGAGCCCATGAGAGTATTTTAGGCATGGAAAGCCAAGACACTCTGGAAAAAAAAAAAAAAAAAAAAGAAGACCTTAATTAAAGATCTCTGCGAGTGAGATCCCAGTGGAAAGAATGGGGCCATCAAAGAAGGAGGTACCTTTCTCTGAAGGGAGGAGAGAATTTCCACTTTGACTATGACCCTGTCAGAATAAGATCGAAGTCGGCAAACTCAAAAGGCTTCCATAGCCTTGGAAACTCATGACTAGAGCCTAGGGAGATTATTGACACCATAAACAAGAGTGTCAAAGTGTTAAGTCAACTACAGGAGTCACTGTGTACTTACTTCTCATGTGGGATCTGTCCTTATTGTGTTGTCCAATGTGAAGTAATGCTATAACTAGTACTGAAACAGTATTTTACACTTTGTGTTTCTGTGTGGGTGCAAACTGATGAATCTTTACTTAATATATACTAAATTGATCTTCTTATATAAAGATAATTGAAAATGAATCTTGATGTGAATGGAATGAGAGAGGGAGCGGGAGATGGGAGGGGTGCGAGTCGGAGGGAAATTATAGGGGGGGGGAAGCCACTGTAATGCATAAACTGTACTTTGAAAATTTATATTTACTAAATAAAGGTTAAAAAAGGAATAATAAGTTGGACCTAGCACTGTCAATGCTGTTGTCATGGGGCTAAGTCTGCCTGACAGTGAAGCCATTAGTCATGGAAAGGGAACAGAAATAAGAAGTGGGGGATTGGAAACCAAAACAAAGGGAAATTGATGACACTTTACATTCTGAATTGTATCTACATTTGAAACAAAATTAAAACTTTGCTTTGGGCTTTTATAAGCTAATCAATTACTGGGTTTTTTTTTTTTTCTAGAATTAGTTTCAATTATTGGCATTCTGTCCTGGGTAACCAAAAAGATCCCTTTGTGGCAATCAATGCTGATGGCTGAGCAGAGGTCTGATGACTATGGTAATGGTTCCATGCAATTCCAGGGATATCATTCAAGCATAACTTTGGCTTTAGGAACACCAGTACCAGGCACATATTTTTCTATGCATGTTCATTTAATGAAAGAGTAACCTCTGGCAGAGGCAAAAACCTCATCTGAACTTACAGTGGTGTCTTTCCTCCTGTCCTCAATTTTTATAAACAGCTGCCCCATGCATTTTCCATAATTAATAAATCGAATCAGGGATACCTGTATCCCTTTCCTGGGCTTCTGATAGTACTCTGCCTTCAGCTCTTCTGTCTTCTGAAGGTAGAGATTGTGACCTCCTGGTTTCGAATAAGTCCCCTGCTCACTGCTCTCTAGGGGACCAAAAATATCCTGAAGCAGAGCTGAGCAAAGATCCGATGAGGCTTCCAAGTTCCGTTTACAAAAGTCATCACGCTTTGCATCCAGTAGTGCCTACAAAGAGACAAAACCCAGAAGATGTTAGCATCATTTCAGTGTTTCTGGATGGGTTTTCAAAAAGAATCTATATTTTTTTCTAGAAGCACAGAGGAATACAAACAAAACTATAACCATCCCATGAAACCTGGAAAAGTTCCAATGATGATACTTTAGAAAACTAGCATTTACTTTTCAGTTTCAAATTTCCTGAAATCCCATTTTCTTGTTATTTTTCCTTTATGGGTGATCTTCAGACCACAGACATGTAGTCTTCTGCTCTGTTTCTAAACTTAGCCTACTGTTTCACAATTTTTCTCGTTTTAATGTTTTACTGAACCTGGGATCCCACATCATAGTAAAGCTACAAGTCCTTGCTGCTCCACTTCCAATTCAGTTTCTTGCTGATGTGCCTGGGAAGGCAGTGAAAGATGGCTCAACTGCTTGGGCCCCTGCCACCTCTGTGGAAGACCAGGATGAAGTTCCTGGCTCCTGGCTTTGGCCATGACCCTTGTCCTGGCTACTGGCTACTGAAGCTCTTTGGAGAGTGAAATATTAGATGGATGATATTGCTCTCTCTCCCTCTCTCTCTCTCAATCTCTCCCCCCCCCCACCTTTCAAACCAAAAAAATAAATTTTAAAGTGCTTTAAACTAATTGGACTTATAGTAGTTTATTTTATAAAACTCAGATACATCATTTGTACCATTTTAATGTATTGAATTTACAATTCTTTATGTTAGATTTTTTTAAAAGCCAATTTAATACTTTGTAAATACAATCATTTATAGGTTTAAAATTAGTTCAAATAAGTCCATGGCTATAACATGATAAAGTAGTTTGCATATGGGAAAATGAGAGACAACAGAAATAGGGCTCACTAAATCAAGCCCCTCCCGTCTTGAACACATATCCATCTCCCAAGCCATATGTGTATCCATCTCCCACCAAAGGTTACTCGACCCAACTCCAAACCAATCAGGAGCAGGGAGCATCCAGACTCTCATTGCAAAAGACCCCCTACTGCCCTGTTAGTGACTTCTTCAATCTATGCATGCTGTGAATAGTGGATATGTGACCAGTACTGTGGATACATGACCTTCGTGTGGAGGTGGTAGTGAGCAGCACTGACATTTTGAATATGGCGTGTACAAAAGAGGCAAGTGAGCCTGTGGAGAACAATGAAGTGCCCAGTACCAAGGTGGCTAAGTCAGAGTTCAAGAGCACATGACTACATCTCCCCAGCCTGATACATCTCCCATTCATCTTCCCTCTGGAGAGTCCATCAGTGGCATATTCTTGTTGTGCTCAGGTATAAGCACCAATAGGCCTTGTCTGGGTTCAACAATGGCTCCTTGCTAATTTCTATTACAAGTAGTCAAAACCTTGAGCTGGTATCAAAAAGCTCAGAATATGTAGAGCACAGAGTATTACTTGTTTGCTTGTTTGTTTTTACAGTAAAAGTGGCATCATAAACATGTGGTTGACTATCATTATTTCCCAGTGTAGTAGAAATTCCTTTTCTTAATGAAGTCATGTTTTACTATTTATAGCAATACTTTGCCTTGATCTGGAACTTAATATTTGTGAACTAAAACCAAAAAATAACTACCTCTAATTCCTTCTGAAACTTTTGATCCACATCCTTGAAGGAGTCCTTCATGAAGACTCCGATGGCCTCTCTCCGAGAAGCAGTGTGCAGGTCCAGCAGCTCCTGGAGGGTTTCTGTGGGCAGCTGCACCTTCTGGCTCATCTGCTGGTCATAGTGGGCAATGGCCTTTTGCACAGCAGCCGTGTTCTCCTTCTGGGTTAAGGTCAGAACTGCGTTTTCCATGCAAGGCAGATCCCCACAGCTAATGGCATTGACGTAGGTCAGCAACAGGCTCTCTAGACCTTCACAGAGTGAAACCAGGCTTTCATTAATTTGCAGAAAAAGAGGCCATGAACTATACTGAATAATTCTGAAAATGTTAATTTAACATTCTATTTATGAAATTGTTCAGTATTTTGATCAAGTGGACAAAATAGGTTCCTGTAAGAAATAGTGTGATCAACAAGGCAAGTGTTTCCTTCTTTGGGAAAAGAAATAATGTGTAAAGAAGAAAATCTCAAGATGTATGAGACGATTCATCCATATTTCATTCTTCTCCCATGAAGAAAATAATTTTATAAAAGTCGTGCATACTCATTTTATTAGAATACTCAATGCCTTATTCTTTTTAATCTGCCCTCTCTTTTCCTTTTCTTCAATTTTCTATTCTCTTCAGAACTCAATTTTCTTTTTCACTTTAACATGGGCTCACTGCTATGCAGGATTAACCTTCACCAATAAAGTGTGAAGCGAGTAATTTGGAACTGGTTTTCCATATTCTTGTTGAGTCTTTCCTGTTTAACTTCCTTATCATTTACACTTTTTTGTTTGCACTTTTTTGTTTCCCTCTATGATCTAGCAATTATTTACAGAGCTCTAAGACAGAATTCTTAGAAAATACTAGAACAAGAAATCTGTTTAAACCTCTTCGTGGGCTTTAGACTTTTGGGCCTTTGTTTAATTTTGCATCAACCAACTATTTCTACAGAGAATATGGATCTCTTGCTCATACAATACCTATCAAAGGACATGATGCATAATAAGGAACCAATATATTTGTTGAATAAATACTGCCAACTTGTGTGGATTAGTCTATTTCAATAGTGGATCACTTATGGGAAAAATGTATTTCACTTGTTCTATCATCAAATGATATACCTATTTTATGTTTGAGGCCTTTCTAAAAACAATAATAGAAATATCTATTGGGACTTTGACAACCATTGGGACATGTGATACATATGATTTCCATGACTGTAATTGCTTACACATTTGTCTTAAATGTGTCCCTTACTCAAGAGAGTGAATTGAAGGAAAATCCTACAAAAGGTACTCACGAGGTCCATTGACCTTGATGCCTCCCGGAAGAGTCTTGGTCATAGAATGATTAAAGATGTAGGAACAGAATTCTGCCACTTGTTGCACAAATAGAGGTTCCAGGTCATCATCACTCAGTGTCTCAAGTTGGGAAAGCTTCTTCAAGTCAGTGGGTGAGTCAAAGATAAAGCATTTTCTTGTTGGAAAGAACTTCTTTATACACTTACGGGGCAAATTGTAGGACTGAGTTCTTTGATCATCACCTAAATATGGAAAAATGGTATTTATTTAGCATAGGATTTACATCGTGTTGAACAATGATCTAAATACATCAAGTTAATGCCTTTCCATCTGATGTTACTGAGAGATAGAAATCTTAAGAAAAAAAGTGAATAATTAGGAAAAGGAAAAAAAGAAATTTGTTCCAAGTGTATGGGACTAATGCAATTTATTATTAATATTAATTCATTCTAAATTGATGGTATTTTAAACTTCTTTTGTGAAAGAGATAGGTGAGTCAATATGAGAAAGTTTACATTTAACCACCTGTCCTAAACGGATCACTTCCTGGGTTAAACTCCCCATTCCCAACCCTGAAGTCCCTGTCACCTTCTTTCAGCTTCAGTGAGTTCTCCAGGTATTCATCTGCTGTGATGAGCTGCCCGTCTATTTGAAGGTCTAGGAAGAAATCTCTCAGAGTCCACACCAGGTCTGGAAAGAAGCTCACATGGCCAGCAGCGTCTTCACCCACATCTGGGTCAGGTGAGGTTCTCACCCTCAGCAGATCTGTCAGTTCTGTCACATTGCTGACACGCAGCTAAGGAAAAGTGGTGGTGACAGGACTGCAGCTGAGCCCCTTTCAGTTGACTGTATCCCCAGACTTTGATTTTGCTTTAATCAATAAACATGGGGCCCTCATATATGGGCTTTTGTCTTGGTACTTTCAGTGTTTTTGTTATATTTCATTTTGAGGATTCATGAGGTCACACAGATAGACTTTGAAACTAAAACTTCTCTACAAAAGGATACTTCAGTAGGTCCATAGATCCCTGATCAATTTTGCTCATGGTATTGTACACAAAGGTACTACTCAATAGGATCGCCAGTGTAAAGATCTTGATATCATTGCTGTCATCAGCCTAGAAGTGAGAACAAATTTAAATCATTTCTTTCTTAAAGCAACCCAGAGTCACCTGGTGGTAACCAATCACTTCTTTTCTTTTTTTTTAAAGATTTATTTATTTATTTGAAAGGCGGAGTTACAGAGAGGCAGAGAGAGAGAGAGAGAGAGAGAAAGAGAGAGGTCTTCCATCCACTGGCTCACTCCCTAGGTGGTTACAATGGCCAGAGCTGTGTCGATCCAAAACCAGGAGACAGGAGCTTCCACCAGGTCTCCCAGGCAGGTACAGGGGCCCAAGGACCTGGGCCATCTCCTTCTGCTTTCCCAGGCCATAGCAGAAAGCTTTATCTGAAATGGAGCAGCAGGGCCTCAAACCAGCACCCATATGGGATACCAGCACTGCAGGCAGCGGCTTTACCCACTACACCACTGTGCAGGCCCCAAATCATGTTTTATAACATTCACAGAATACCAGTCATCAAAAACAGATTCCTTACCTGCAAATGTTAAACCAGATGAATAATAATGACTGATATGTGAACTTTGAAAACTCTTTGTTTGCCTGAATAATTTTATACTGACCCATATGTTGTTGACTTTTTGTAAAAATTAAGGTTGCCAACAACAGATGCTGGCGAGGATGTGGGGAAAAAGGGACACTAACCCACTGTTGGTGGGAATGCAAACTGGTCAAGCCACTATGGAAGTCAGTCTGGAGATTCCTCAGAAACCTGAAGATAACCCTACCGTTCGACCCAGCCATCCCACTCCTTGGAATTTACCCAAAGGAATTTAAATTGGCAAACAAAAAAAGCTGTCTGCACCCTAATGTTTATTGCAGCTCAATTCACAATAGCTAAGACCTGGAACCAACCTAAATGCCCATCAACGGTAGACTGGATAAAGAAATTATGGGATATGTACTCTTTAGAATACTATACCGCAGTAAGAAACAACGAAATCCAGTCATTTGCAACAAAATGGAGGAATCTGGAACACATCATGCTGAGTGAAATAAGCCAGTCCCAAAGGGACAAATATCATATGTTCTCCCTGATCAGTGACAACTGACTGAACACCAAAAAGGAAACCTGTTGAAGTGAAATGGACACTATGGGAAACGGTGACTTGATCAGCATAGCCCTGACTGTTAATGAACAACTTAATACATTATGCCTCTTAGTATTTTTTTTTGTCTGTTCTACTTAATATGACTGGTTTAATTTTGTAATTAATACACAGTTATTCTTAAGTGTTGAAAATTAACTGAAATGTGATCCCTGTTAAACATAAGAGTGGGAATAAGAGAGGGAAGAGATGTACAATTTGGGACATGCTCAAGCTGACTTGCCCCAAATGATAGAATTAGAAACATACCAGGGGACTCCAATTTAATCCCATCAAGGTGGCATGTACCAATGCCATCTCACTATTCCAAGTGATCAATTTCAGTTCACAATTGATCATAATGAAAGGACTAAGAGTCAAAGGGAGCACATAAACAAGTCTAGTACCTGCTAACACTAACCGATAGAATAAATAAAGGGGAGAGTGATCCAACATTGGAAGTGAGATACTCAGCAGACTCATAGAATGGCAGATGTCCTAAATAGCACTCTGGCCTCAGAATCAGCCCTAAAGGCATTCCAATCTGGCTGAAAAGCCCATGAGAGTATTTCAGGCATGGAAAGCCAAGACACTCTGGCAAAAGATCTCTGTGAGTGAGATCCCAGTGGAAAGAACAGGTCTTCAAAGAAGGAGGTACCTTTCTCTGAAGGGAGGAGAGAACCTCCACTTTGAATATGACCTTGTCTAAACAAGATAAGAATCGGAGAACTCAGAGGGCTTCCATAGCCTTGGAAACTCATGACTGGAACATAGGGAGATTACTGATGCCATAAACAGGAGTGTCAATTGGTAAAGTCAACAACAGGAGTCACTGTGCACTTACTCCTCATGTAGGATCTCTGTCCTTAATGTGCTGTGCATTGAGATTTAATGCTATAACGAGTACTCAAACAATATATTTCACTTTGTGTTTCTATGGGGGTGCAAACTGTTGAAATCTTTGCTTAATGCATACTAAACTGATCCTCTGTAAAAAAAAAAAAAGAAAGAAATTATCAACTCTCACTGGGATTAAACATGACAATAAGTCTGATCTGATTTCATCATCATTTAAAAAAATCATCTATTATTTTTCACTTTATGTTTCTGTGTGGGAGCAAACTGTTGAAATCCTTACTTAATGTATACTAAGCTGATCTTCTGTATATTAAGATAATCGAAAATGAATCTTGATGTGAATGGAAGGGGAGAGGGAGTGGGAAAGGGGAGGGTTGTGGGTGGGAGGGACGGTATGGGGAGGAAGCCATTGTAATCCATAAATCGTACTTTGGAAATTTATATTCATTAAATAAAAGTTAAAAAAAATTAAGGTTGCTTTTTCAGTTAAAGATTGTGAAACAATTGCCAACAATGCATCTGAAAACAATGCTTCCTCCACCTGTGGCACCGGCATACCACATGGGTACCGGTTCTAGTCCCAGCTGCCCCTCTTCTAATCCAGCTCTCTGCTATGGCCTGGTAAAGCAATAGAAGATGGCCCAAGTGCTTGGGACCCTGCACCCACATGGGAGATGGGGAAGAAGCATCTGCGCTGCAGATCAGCACAGCTCCAGCTGTTGCAGCCATCTGGGGAGTAAACCAACGGAAGGAAGACCTTTTTTTCTCTCTCTCTCCCTCTCACTGCCTGTAACTCTACCTCTCAAATAAATAAATAAAAATCTTAAAAAAAAAAGGAAAGGAAAATGTATATTCTGGGGTGGGTGTTTTGGTGTAGCATTTAAACCACCACTTAGGATGTCCACACTCCATATCAGAGTGCATGGGTTCCACTTACAGCTCCGCCTCCAGTTCCAACTCTGTAACCTGGATGGCAGTAGCTGAAGATCCAATAGTTGGATCCTTTTCACCTATCTGGGAAACTTGGATTGAGTTCCCAGCTCCTGGCTTCAACCTGGCCCATCCCTGGTTGTTGGCATTTAGGGAGTGCACTAGCAGGTAAGAGATCCTTGCCTATCTAATTTCAAGTAAATAATTGTTTTAAAGGCCATTGTCTGGTCAAGTGGGAATATAAATTTAGGAAAACCGAAACTTCCCTGGATAAAGAATGCTGAAAGGTAATTCAAAAAGGAATCCCGTAGCCATACCTTCTCTACGTCACCCAGACCTTCTGTGTCAAGCAGAACTAGGGTGTGGTCAGGCTTCTCTGGATGAGGCACACACCACATCCAGATGCCCTTGGTGTGAGACTGCACGGTGGACCCAACTGAGAAGCCTGCAGAGAAGTGGAGATGTTGTAATAGGGGAGGGGCTCTGGAAATAAGGATTGTCTTGATCACTGAAAAAGGATTTAGGGGAAGCAAGATGGAAAAACAACGGAAGGCACAACTAATCTGGTTCTGAATTACAATAAAGGAATAGAAAAATAACATCAAACATCATAGACTGGAAATTTTATTTTTTAAAGAACACCATACTACTAAAATGTCAATAGTTTATAATTATACTTATGGAAATTACTTCCCTGATAGCTCACTCTTTATGAGGGGTGCACATTATGCTCTTTCCCAGAGACTTGTTAAGGGCAAATGAAAAACACAGTGTGAGGCATCAGGACAGACAGCTGCCCTTTGTCTCCCAGGAGATAAAAAGACCAGTGCCTTCCACACATTGGCTTTCAGTGCCCCTCCCCCTCCCCGCCTTTCTCCCTTCTCCTCCCCAGGCTGAGTGGTGACAGTGTGGGTGGACAGAGGAGACCCTCAGAGCATAGCTGTTGCCGCTCACCCGTCTTCTTCCCAGCCAGCTTGTTCATGAGGTAGGACTTGCCCGTGCGGTAGAGGCCCACGATAGCTACCACCACCACGGGCTGCGTAACAGCCGACAGGATCTGCACGGCCTCCTCATTGACCATGAACTGCTCACTGGTGTTCTCAATGAGGCACACGGGTTCTGCCATGAGGATCTCCAAGGCCATGTCCAGGACGTTACTTTGTCTGCAAGGGAAGAGATGAGCTGGGCCAGAATATCTAGTGTTTAAACCGAGAAAATCATTTTGTCTACTGAACCTGGGCATATGCTCCCCCAGCATGGCCTGTTGCTGAAGAATTTTCTAAAAGCTGAAAATAGCTTAGCAAATGTGGGTTGCAGTAGAACACTACATCCTTCATACTCTTGACCACCTTACTGGCTCCTAGCTATTTGGTGGACAAAGGGAAATCCCACCCTTGTGGGAGACCCAGGTAGAGTTCCAGGCTCCTGGCTTCAGACTAGCACAGCCCTGGCCATTGCAAGCATTTGGGAGTGGACTAGTGACTTATCCACTGCCCTACAATGTCTGCCTCTCTCTGCCTTTTAAGCAAGTAAATAAGTAAAAATAAATAAAATTTGCTTTAAAAATCATGATATTAGAGGCAATAGCAGAGTAGAGACAGAATTCAGCACAATAAAGGGTTAACAAGTACTAAGAAACAAAAAACTCAGAGCTATAGGAAAAACCCACTTTGGAAGAGCAAGATCAAGGCTCAAAATACATTACTGTCTGGAAACCTCTTCACTGTTCAGACTGGGTTTCACTTTTCCTGTTCTTTCTTTTTTGGGGGGAGATGAAGAATCTTCATATTAGCAGTTTAGCAAGCTATTTACTTTGTATCTCATTCATTACTCTTTCTCACGAAAATAACAATCATAGCTCATCAGACTTGCAGACTAAAGTTTGAACCAGCTTAACCAGGTTTTAATAAAGAGAAAAGTAGCCTAAGTAGCAATTATAATCGCTTAGAAGTCATGAGATGGCAAAGGGAGAAAAGCGGTTTCAGGATATTTTAAACTCACAGGTTGGTCTCCCCATATATGTATATTTAATTTAGCAAGAAGCGAATGTAATTGGCACTTGATGGATTCTGCTCTGATAACACCATGACTTAATATTTTCTGAGTCCCAATACACCACACCCAGTTAGACTTCCTTCTATCCCAGACAGACCAATTTTAAAACTAAAGGGAACCTTGTACAGTTCTTCCCACCTTTGCCCAGTCTTACCTTAACTGGAGCAATAAAATCAGCGGGGAGCAGAGATCTTTCAGAGCAGACAAGGAATCAGCTTAGACGAGGACTTGATAAGAAACTGCTTTGACGAGAACTAATGAGAGTTCTAACTGCTGTGCCCAGTGTGAGTGTAGCTGAAATGATTTCTAATGTACTTCATCCTTACCCACCTCCTGGGATTCCCCATCCCCTCTCCTCCCCACATCACACCAACTCCCCACCAACAGTTAACTGTGCAGCACAGGGAAACCGAAAGTGGGAAATGACGTTGGGAAACTTGCTTGTAGGAAACTGAAACTGCAAAGCAAAGGCAGTTACAAACAATATTTTCTGAATATTGACAATTGCTGGGCTGGAGGGTTTGGTCGGATTTCTCAGAAATTCTATGTTGCTACTGAAAAGAAAACTTTGAGGTTCTTGATAATGTTTCTAAGTGTATGGTATTTTACCTAGCTTGAAATCTGATATTTATCTTCAGCTTAGAAGCAGGGCAGGAAGAAACCTCATAAAATTTTTGGGGTCTAATTTTTTGAAATGTTTGATACACTTACATAGGGTCAAGTTTCTTGCTTTTTTTTCTGATTTAACAACTTTATTGAATTTTCAGAAGCACTCTACAGTAACACACTTTAAAAGAATCACATAGTACTTAGTAGGTACTTGTATACATGTACAGCTCAGAAGACAAATAACAAACAAAATCACTCCCAGAAAGCTTCAAAAATGGACATGTGTAGTCTAAGAATATGATAATGGCTAAAGGGATACCCAAAGGACCATATTTTGATATGCTTAGGACTACTATTTTCCACAATGCCTCTACAATTAGAGTGCCTTATCTTACAATCACAGAAATGAAAACAGGAATAAAATCCTACTTTATACAGTAGTTTATTTCTTATTGCTTTTTAAAAAAAGTCATTTAAATTTGCTTTTAGAGTATAGATTAAGCCTAATCATCCATGAAACACAATACCTTAAAAGTATTTTAAAAATCAAAGAAAGCTCCATCTTTTCAGTTCACCTGACAAAATGCACCATCCCAGAATATTTATCATCTAGAGCAGTGTTTCTCAAAGTATTGTCCGTGGACTGGGATATAACCCATGAATCATTTGCTGCAGCTTTGTATGCTCTACTGAGCACTAAGTCAAAGTGTTTATCACAAAGTTCAGTGGAGGATGTCTGAATACCTACTTTTGGGGTGGTTTTGATAAGGGGCCCAATCAGGGAGATAGGATTAGATTGATTAGATTCATGAGCTGGAAACCACGCCCCCTTGCCCCTACCTGATCTTGTTACTGGAGAAGCAGAGGGTCCTTGTCTTCCCACAAGAAAGAATTCAGGTGTGAGATAGCAGTAGAAAGCAAAATAGCAAGGTTTATTAGGGTAGAGACATCTGTAAGACAGGACCTGAGAGGAAGTGCATAGTTCACATTTAGGCTGGGGTTTTTAGGGGGATGGGTCTTGCCTTCTAGCCTCTTCTCTCCCCCTCTCCTTCTTCTCCTCTGGAACAAAGGACTTGTTGGGTGTAAATATGAAAAATTCCTCTCTGAGTTTTTCCCACCGAAGTTATCAGTCAGGGGAAGCCTGGCTGGTGTCATGTCTTAGAGGAGGGATGTTTATCAGGCCAGGTAGAAGGGGCAGGACTCCCTGGAAGGTCATCAGGATCCGGGTGGGACTTTGAAGTACAGATACTGGAAGGCTATCAGGATGACTTTGAGATGTGGATGCTGGATTGCTGTAGATGTCAATTCCTTAGGCCCTTGTCACACACACACACATAGGCTCATTTCTGACTTCCTACCTAATAATCTCACCTGTCAATCAGGCTGTGTAACCACTCCCCTTTAGGAAGTGGATAAGCCTCTGGGGAGCACACTGGGCCCACCCCTGTTCTCCTGCATGCCTCTTTTGTACTGCCCATTTTTGCAGCCACTCCTGGCCCTTCTCCTGCCTGAAGGGCTCCTTTGCGTGCCTCTGGCCTACAGACTCTCATACATGGCCCCTGGCCTGCCTCCTGAGAGTTTAGTATTGAAATTGGGGACCTTTACTCAAAATTTTATTAATTATTTTAAGATTAATATTTTGAGGGTCCTTACTGTCTATTCTTCTGAATATCAACTCAAATAAATCAGACACTATGGTAAGGTTTTAGCATCTATTTAGGGAGAGAAATACACAGGAAAGTGAGGGCTTTATTTAGGAGAGAAAGAAGTCTAGAAACACAGGCTGGGTATATCAGGCAGAGGGCAGGCCAGGAGCCACGTGGATCACAGTGTGCAGTTAGGAGCAGCCACAGGTAATGTAGCATGGGCGGGAAAACAGAGAAAGGGGCAGCCACAAGGCTGAGCATCTGGAGGCCTGAACAACAAGACAGGGGCCCCAGCACTCCAGGCCTTTTATTTACTTCCAAAGGGGAGTGGTTATGTCATCTGATTGGCAGGTAAGCATACAGGTGAGGTCAGGTAAGGGCATGAGATCACAAAAGGGGGCAGGGTGAAGGCATGGTCTCCAGCTCACAAATCTGATCAATTTAATCCTATCTATCCTATCAGTATGGAACTTCCCATATAATCTTTCTGACTCCTCTCTCCCTTCATAAAGCTATCACATTCCTGTGTATTTCTCCCACTTCCCCAAACAAATCCTGAAGTGTACCATGTTGCTTGTCTCTTTTGTGCCTGAGCTTAGAATGCTTCTCTAAGCTTAAGACAAGAACCCAAAATATTAAAATTTGGCTTAAGGTTACCCCACAACAGTTTCAAACAAACCCTAGGATTTCATCACCTACTTTTGGAACTGATAATATACATATTGCCTCACTAGAAGAAATCAGACACTTGCATGCCAGTGACAGCAGTTGCCTGTCAATATGCTGCCACTCCTCTTTAATTACTTTTAAAATAGATTCCTGGAAGGGAAAAGATAGTTCCAAGGCATCTATTTTATCATGCTGCAAATGCTTATGTTAATGGTGAAATGGCAGCAGGGAAAAGATTACCGTAGTTCTTTGTCTCATGTGGAAGAAGAATTTCCGTGCAGATGAGGCAGAAGAGAGAAAAGCAAAATTTATATAAGTCAGAGACTTCCTGGCAAAATGGCCAGAAGGGGGCTTCAAGAGAGGCAAAACCCATAGGATTGTAGTATGGATTTTAAGCACAATTTGGCAGAAAAAACTTTCAATCAGTTAACAATCAGTAACAAAATCCATCAAAAGTCTTGATTTTTAATCTGATTTGCTCATGATAAAACAAAGGAGTCCTCAGAAGGGTGGGAGAGATAATGTCTTTCTATTCTCATGATACAACTAGAAACTCAGAAGGGTTGAATGGGCACTTTTCTCTTGCTGAAGGCTACTTTTGGGGAGAAACATGGAGTAGGATATAGCACCTTCTTAGGGGGACTCTCCCAGTTCCTCATTTTCCTCTGGGACCAACCTGACTGCCTATTGTGATTTTTTTTTTTTTTTGACAGGCAGAGGTAGACAGTGAGAGAGAGAGAGAGACAGAGACAGGTCTTCCTTCCGTTGGTTCACCCCCAAATGGCCACTACAGCTGGCACGCTGTGGCAGGCGTGCTGTACCAATCCGAAGCCAGGAGCCAGGTGCTTCCTCCTGGTCTCCCATATGAGTGCAGAGCCCAAGCACTTGGGCCATCCTCCACTGCCTTCCCGGGCCACAGCAGAGAGCTGGACTGGAAGAGGAGCAACCGGGACAGAATCCGGTGCCCCAACTGGGATTAGAACACCGGGTGCCGGCACTGCAGGTGGAGGATTAGCCAAGTGAGCCTAGGCACCAGCCTGCCTATTGTGATTTTAAGTTACCCTGATTATGATGAGAAACTAAGATGACTTCTTTTAAGATTTATTTTTTATTTAATTGAAAGGCAGAATTACAGAGAGAGAGAGAGAGATCTTCCATACACTGATTCACTCTCCAAACAGCCACATTGGCAGGGGCTGGGCCAGGCCAAACCCAAGAAGCAATCCAAACAGCAGACTCATAGAATGAGAAACACTCTGAAATACACTCTGACCTGAGAATCAGCCCTTAAGGCATTCAGATCTGGCTGAAAAGCCCATGAGAGCATTTCAGGCATGGACAACCAAGACACTGTGGCAAAAAATTGTCTACATGAAGGATCTCTTGAGTGAGACCCCAGTGGAAAGAAGGGCCCATCAAAGAAGGCTGTACTTTTCTCTGAAGGGAGGAAAGAGCTTCTATTTTGCTTATGGTCCTGTCTAAATACTGACAGAGTGTAGATAAAAAAGACTTCCATAACCTTGGCAGGTCATGTCAAGAGCCTCGGGTGATCACTGACGTCATAAGTAAGAGTGTTGTAGCAAAAATAAACTTATCTGTAAATAGACATTGGAAACAGCTCTGTGAAGGGTATATTTATCTGCAGAAAGACCACTGGGAGAGAAATGTAAGAAGTAAAGTTTGAGAATTAGAGGTGATTTTTAACTAAAGTTAGCTTGTATATTTTGCATCTGTTGAGTTCTCCATTTCTTCCTTGGGTGTGTAAAAGCTAACAACAGAAGACCTGGTGATGAAGTTGAATTCCCAAGAGAACTAGTATATGCTTAACTAAGTCAGGTGTCATAATTCAATTGGTGAAGAAAATTGCAAAACAAAACCTCCCAACAAACTCCTGCCTGAACTTCCTGAAAAGACCTTATAAATAAATAGGTAGGAAAGTACTCAAAGGCCAGCCTAAGCCTATCAAAATTGTGCCTTTCGCATTCCCTCCTCTGCATAAATTTTATTTTATTTTATTTATTTTTTTGAAGATAAGGTCTGTTTTTTTAAAGAAAGCTTTTATTTAATGAATACAAGTTTCATAGGTACAGCTTTAGGAATATAGTAGTACTTGCCCCCATACTCACCCTCCCACCCCTACTCCCATCACACCTCCTACTCCCTCTCCCATCCCATTCTTCATTACGATTCATTTTTAATTAACTTTATATACAGAAGATCAACTCTATACTAAATAAAGATTTCCATAATTTGCACGCACACAGGCACACCAATCAAGAAGTACTGTTTGAAAACAAGTTTTACAGTTAATTCGGCCAGTGCCATGGCTCACTTGGCTAATCCTCCGCCTGTGGCACCAGCACCCCAGGTTCTAGTCCCGGTTGGGGTGCCAGGTACTAGTCCCGGTTGTTCCTCTTCCAGTCCAGCTCTCTGCTGTGGCCTGGGAGGGCAGTGGAGGATGGCCCAGGTGCTTGGGCCCTGCACCCG